GTACTGCCTGTGCCTATACTCGATTGCACATAAAACGCTGTAGGATGTGTGTTGCACCATAATCTTACTGCCAACAAGCATGCCTTAACATGTCTTAGATTTATGACTTGGACCGTAATCAAAGAGTCACATTCTTGTCATACCAATCTACATTGTTCTCACCTTGTTCTCACGGTTTCACAGATACTCATTAATGTGTGTGTGCATTAGGCTTGGTTCTGCTTTCAGGACATACTGTTAGCATTCCTGCAGGGGTTACTCATGTACCTGTTAAAGGGTGATGCAAAATCATGCCATCTGACTGCATTGACTGCAGCACACCCTCTCTATTCGCCATTCATGATGAGGTCAGCGTGGGTCATGTTTAAACTACCTAAGGTTGACAAAGGCGTGCCTGAGGAAGTGCATGAGAGAAATTATATTTACTCTTCACTGTGCATTGACACAGAAGTTCACTTTTATTCTAGATTGTTCTCATAAGATGGTAAACGTTCTGTAGTATTGTACAGTACAGTGTGTTGGATTAGTTTTTTTGGGTTAGGCGAGTTTTGCTCAACTTGAGCTTGACTGTCATATTGCTGTTGAGTATTTTTTTTCACTGTTTGTTACAGTCAAACATCAAATTATGTGGTTTGTATGCAGTTATTTTTCTAAGCAATAATTTTTTTATCATGTTTTTTAGAATCATTTTTTACAGAATTGTAAAAGTCCAGTTGTTAGTTCGATAATTAATAATAAACCAATATAACTATTGGAGAAATTGTAATCATCATTATTATTATTATTAATGATGTTGTTTATCATAGATTTGTGCATATATGAGGTGTTTTTGGGTATCTGTGTCAAGTGAGTTCTAGACTCGACTTGTCATGTGCCGCGTCACTGTTTGTGATAACCCCTCTGCTCTGGAACTGCTGGTCTGTTATCAGCCCCCACCACTCCCATCACCCCTCCCTCACACTTACGAAATCAATTCCTATGAATTTCATCTTGTTCCTATGTAAATCACTCTGCTTTTTTACTTCATTGCACACATCTATGCAACGGACATCTCCTTGACTACACCTGTCACACATTTCATATCCAAACACTCTCCACCTACTTGACTGTCTCTTACTTCCTTCTCCTCATCCAGCTCTTTCAGGCTCTTTGTCAGTTAAAACAAAGTACCTGTCAATAAATTTGACCGCTCCACCCCAGATTATATAACCAAGGCTTATCAGTTGTATTTCGATTGTCCATTGTCCTTCCATCAGACACTCATAATATTTTTAGTGCATTGATGAAAAGATATTTGTAATGATTAAGAATTCACAATCCAGTTGCTAGAATAGATTATGATGAGTATTAATATGCAGAACTATGGAGACGAAGCACTGGAGCTGTGACCTAGGGGTTAAAGGGTTAGTTCACCCAAAAATGAAAATTCTGTCATTACTCACCCTCATGTTGTTCCAAACCCGTAAGACCTTCGTTCATCTTCAGAACACAAATTAAGATATTTTTGATGAAATACGAGAGCTCTCAGATCCTGCGTAGACAGCAATGCAACTGAAATGTTCCCACACCCAGAAACGTAGAAAGGACATCGTTAAAATAGTCCATGTGACATCAGTGGTTCAACCGTAATTTTTTTACGAAGCTGCGAGAGTACTTTTTGTGTTATTCTCCTTCGCGTCACCCTAGGATGCCATTATAGATTATCACGACAAATGCGTGTACGTTCCTTTGCATGTAAACAAGGCTTAGCATTGTTTATGTGCAGAGGTACTCTTGATAATTGCGGAAGACGTGATTTGCGCACAAAAAGCATTCTCGCTGGTTTGTAAAATTACGGTTGAACCACTGAGGACTGTTTTACCGATGTCCTTACTACGTTTCTGGGCCTGGGAACATTTGCATTGTTGTCTATGCAGGGTCTGAGAGCTCTCGGATTTCATCAATAATATCTTAATTTGTGTTCTGAAGATGATTCTTAGTGGTTTGGAATGACATGAGTAATTAATGACAGAATTTTCATTTTGGGTGAACTAACAATTTAACACATTCTCTGATTTACTGAACTGCTATGCATATGAAACTATATGCAGAGTTTGAGTCAAGCCTGTGTCACAAGACTCACAACTCAATCCCATATCCTCTTCTCCCCATCATTTCTTTTCCATCTCCTGATTGTGCTTTTTACTTGGCAATAGCTGATAACTGGTTAATATATTTGGTCTGCTTGGCCATATACCAAAGTTTGTTCTCAGTGTTTTATAATATATTTTCGAATTTTAACTTGTATAATAGTATCACATAGACTAAAAATATATCCGTATTACACCAGCCATCAGCCACCTGCCCCTTTTTACTCTGAAAAATCCCAAAATAAACAGTCAAATAAACTTCTTCCTGCTACATGCTGTGACATCTCCTCCTGTTTTGTTTCATTGTAAAGAGAAACGCTAATAAATGACTGATAAGTGTTGCAACAGTGCGCATTTTGAACTCGTCGGATGGTTTCATTTAAGTCCTCCACAATCTTCTTCCCATATTTTCAAGCTTGTGTAGATAACTAGGGCAAAGGGAAAGACTGGAGGATGACATCAGTCTTCTTGAGTGGAAAACAGGGGTGGGCGTCTGAGGGTTGTGTGTGTGTGTGTGTGTATGTGTTGTAATTGGCTACATGCACAGAATATTTTCGGCTTGATCACTGCATTGCTCTAATACCTTTGACAAAAATGCGATACCAGTGAAACAAATTGTATCGTCTCTGAATCCGAAGATCCAACTGAGAAAACGTTGAAGAAAAAAAATGCTTCTGTCCTAACAGAAATTGTCTGGGTTATATGAAAGCATACATGCTTATGAGTCATATTAGATTTTTACTGCAGTGCTTCGGTTGAGTTATTTCAGCCTCCGTCTGGAGTTGGTGTGCTCTAATTCTGTGTGTTCCCTGAGGAAACAGGTTACGTTATAAAGCCTGAAATCCCCTTTCAGCTTTTCAGATAAAATTGGGCTTGCTACAGAATCCTGCTGAGAAATGAGGTTGGTGAAGTCTTAGAAACAGGCATGGTAAATCTCGCCCCCTGGTGGTCATCGTATGAACACATTATTGCGCACACAAACTTGTCACAGGAAGGGCGGGATTATTGGAAGGCCTGGGGGGGAGGGGCACTGAAGGAGTTCAATGGTTGGCTGAAATGAGCTTGTCAGGTATTGGATGGTTGAGCATGGTAATATTTTCCTCCTCTATGAATAGCTTGTTACAATATTTGTTACAGTGCTTGAATGTTACCTTCGCTGTACTACTAATGGGGCTGTGGCAATACATTTTGTGTATATAATATATATAATATACATTCATACGTGTGTGTGTGTGTGTGTGTGTGTGTAGTTCTTAGTTTTAGTTTTTAGTTATTTGAGCCTAAATGAGAAATGTTGCTGTGGCAAAAAAGTGATATTTTATTAATTTACTTTTTGTATATATTTTATTTCAAGTGATTAATTTAAGTGTTTGTTCTAGTAAATAACTCTTTTGTATATGTGTACATGTTTTCATAAGATTTACTGGTTTATGAGTCTGCTCTTATAGAAATAAATCTCATTCTATGCTTGGGTTTTTTTGTTTGTTTTTTGTGCAGGAATGCTTCACAGAGATCTTTGGAAAAGATGCAGTGGCAGAGAGCAGAAAATCACAAGAAAACTTCAAGAAGTGGTTGCTGGTGGGAATGACCTTGCTCACGGGTGTCGTGGTCGGGTCACTCATTGCACAAAAACGCCTGTGAGGATCAGGATAACTGAAGATCCAAATACACCCACTGCTTCGTTTAGACCTCCTGCTAACATGAAGGAACTTCAGAAATACATTTGTTTTGGATTTATTTGTTTCTATTTTATTGCCAAGAAGTTTCATGTTTACATCCCACGTCCCACCGTGTTGTGTTGACTAAGTGGAGCGCATCTGTGATGTAATGTAACAGTCAATTTGAATGTTGTTACAATGCGGATTGGTATACGCGTCACTGTCACGATTCCCAGTTTCATTCAGAAGTAGGCCCATGTCACATTGCGTAAGTAAAATGGGTTGCAAATTCAGTTTTATGTTGACTAAGTGTGAAAGGAAGAAATGTGACATTTAATCCAACAGGCCCCTTTTAAACTTCTAAGTTGGGAGTGAGGTGTTTAACAGCGATGTACAAATTATAGTTGGTGAGTCTCAGCAGATTCAAATTGCCAACATTTAAGCTGACGATACAGGGGCCAAATTTTTGAGCAATTTTGCCGGTGCAACTTTTTTTGGGAGCAATGTTGCTTGGGCACTTTCCCATTGAGAATGGGTAACCAATATCTGTCTGGACACTTTAGATCTGTCGTTGGCCCTGTATCTAACCTGGTTGCCCATTGACGGCAACATTGCTCAAAAAGTTGCCCCGTGTATCATCAGCCTTACACTTTTTGCTGCTCTGTAGACACTGATTTCACAGAATACATTCCGTGTTACGAAATTGCTGCTTGCATGCTTTGTCTATCTGTCTGTCATGTTGCAGAGTTTGTTTGTGTGTGTCTGTGTGTGTGTGTCTGTGTTTGACAGTATGCTTAAGAGTGAAATGTACCAGCATTGGCACAGCACTATGTAAACTAGTTAACTTAAATGACGATTAGACTAGCTCATCATAGCTTAGTGAAAAATATTTAAAGCATTTGATGATTTGAAAATATTATTTATGATATTTGGTGTAAACGCATATTGTTCCTTCCTATGGCCTTAAACTCCATTATAATTTCTTTTGAAGTGTATTTGTTACTTATTGTGTTTGTATTTAGACAAATTAACCTAAACGAGAACAAAAAGAAAACTATTTTTTTAAGGTTTTAGGTTTATTTAAACAGCTTCACCCCTGAATTAATTGTTTTATGTCTTAGGATTTTTTTTAAATGTCTGATATCATTTAAAGGAAATAAAAACCCATTTGAATTCACAAGACATCTACTCTTGTGGTTATTATGTCCGTTTCTTTTGTTGAACGAATACAAAGATACATGATGTTATTTCTTTCAAGTTTTACTTCTGTCAGTCAAGAGGAAATGCTTGTGATTCATTCAGTGTTGTGGACATTTTCATGCTTGCTCAAATTTTATGAGGTTGCCCATTGGATAATATTCAAATGTTCGCATAAAGGACGGCATAGCAATGCATGAAGACTGACAAAGGAGAAAGCCAGATAAGTAGCAAGGCTTTGATGTGTTTCTCACAGCTGCATTTCCTTTAATCTATTTCCACTGGCCCTTCTCATAGTCCCATTTGGCTGAGAACCCCTCCACAGGGTTCACCCGCATGTCCAGCATCCTCTTCACCTGCATAACCTGCGTCTTCAAGGAATAAAATACACAGGAGCAGTACTAACAGGCAAGTTTCTCCTCTTTGGAGCGGCTGTTCCAGGGGCCTTTCTCCTTCTGCTTCAGGCTCTTGTCTGCAGCACTGAGGGTGTCTTTGTATGGTTTATCAGGCAGAGCAGTGTCCATTCGGTCCCAGTACAGGGGTACAGACATATCTGCCTGTTCTGTCACCCCACCTGTGAGAACCAGAGGAAATGATCAATTGATTAATGAGAAAAATACAAACATACACTCATTGATCATCCTAGTTTTATTCATTTAATTACATTTTATTCTGTTCTTTAAAAGGACATGTCATATTAGCATGCCCATGGCTGGCCATCTTGACGCTGCTGGAGCTGAATGCAGCCGCTCCTCGTCTGGACAAAAGCCCCGCTACACGTCCGGCTGTCAAGCGGAGCATCTGATCCACAAAAGAAAATGAAAACATACTCAAAAGTTCTCAGAAAGACCACAGCGCCTGGCAGACTGAGGTTAAATATAACGCAAATGGTTGTGTACCTACATGTTTAACTTACATGTGATCTACACAGAACCGGATATGTTCTTAAAGCCAACTTGAACTTCATGCTCTTAATGGGCCTCATTCATGAAACATTCGTAAATATATGAGTCAATTCTGAGTCATTTACGCGTAAAACTCTCCTTCAGATTCACAAATACGTAAAGGTTGATAGTTAAAAGTGTATGTTAATGAATTCCAATCATTCGTAAAGAGGGCGCGCGTGCACGCTCATTCATAATTGGCATATTCCCCGCATATGAATTACAGCTATGCTGTGGAAACCTTTGAACTCAGTTCTCAGGTTTGGCAAGTTATATTGCATAAATGCATAAGAGACTAATAGGCTATATGCCTAACAATAAATGAATAAATTAACGTGTTTTTAGCCAGCTAATGCCAGGTGCTCTTCTGAAAACGACCAGCTGGTGGTGCTTGAGAGAGCTTTGGAGGCACTGCACTTTTCTGGAGTGACGCGCTGTTTGCTATGATTTGGAATATTTACGGCAGTAACATGTTACGAGTATCTTATTTAGAAGAATATAATGCAGTAACCAGCAATATTAACTTCTCCATTGTTGTGTTGTACAGGTATTATCATGGTTGGTCAATGTAGTGTTTGTCCCGCCCCTCCTCCACTGTGATTGGGCGGCTGTGTAAAAAGGGGTCACTGACGACGAGCTCTTCGTTTTACCCTACAGTCTATGGTTTTACCCAAAGTTAAAAAAGTAAAAAAACAAAAAAATATCATTATAATACACAGTGAAAAAATGCGTTGTCATCAGTTTGTCTAAAATAATACAGAACGTTTGAATGTTTTATGCGCCATTTACACATGGCAGGGAGCAGGTGTACATTTCTTTCGTACCAACTAACATTTTCAAAATGCGAACATTGTCATGAATTCTAAAATTTACGTCAGAACGACTTTCCGAACGATTTACAATCGTGTTTCATGAATGAGGCTCAATGTTAGTGCTTCCATATGCTTGTGTATTACGTTCAGTTCTAGTGTTGTTTAGTACCAAATGACTATCGAGATCCTGAGTAAAAGGGAAAGCCTTGAGTTTTTACTATTTTGCTAAGTATACATAATGGTATATAAAATCTGTGATGTTTCAGTTCCTCCTTCTGTTCTGGATCAAATCCAAATCCCTGCTTGTTTAGTCTGGCCACATAATAATCATCTTCTTCTGTTAATTACAGTAAAACTCCACCAATCATCCACTGGTTAAAAATAAACATTCTGAGTTTTGGTGCACAGTTCTGGGAAACTTGGGGTTTTATTGAACAAAAACACATTAAAAATATAATTTATTTAATTACTTTTTATTTTTTAGAACGCAAATGGACACTTACTGTCATAAAACACGTTTTATTCATCTGTGCAAAGCTAAAAACTTTCTGCATGCTCCATGTGCAGCGAGAGAGAGACAAAATAATTAAAATGGACAAAACTGGCAAAAGCCCAAACCAAGAGTTCACAATGACCCCTATAGACTAAACTCTCAAACAAATTAACAAATGATTTATAAAAGTCAATAATCTGCTGTATTTTGCCCTACTACTTATTGTTATATGACTATAGATGGCTCTTTACACTGTTATTTTTTTTAATTAACATTATTTGAAGAGGAGTTTCTACTGGAAAGATACGGACAGCATGATCATGTACAACAGTGAGTAAAAGCAAGGAAGTCATTATGTAAATGCATTAAACTCATGTGCATTAAACGCTGTTGAATGCTGGCCTATTCATCGATGTCTATCAATACTCTATAGCTCTTTCTCTTGCTGCAGAATCTTTTGCATCTTTTGAACTAAAGTATTTTTCGTAGTTAAATATGCTTTTTAAGTGCACATATGCATTTTCTTTACATTTTTCAGTCCATGCTTGCTATCCTTCTCCCCCCGCTGCTACTAGAAAGTTCCCTCATCGTACTCACAGTTTTCCAGAGAGACAAGACGATAAGGCTGACAAAATCACAAATAAGAAAATACAGGGGGGGAAAAAAAGCTTTGTTTTATGCGTATGCCCCTGCTAGGGGTGTTGGTACTATTGACCATGAAAACACAGGAGTGGGTGGAGAAAGGAAGGAGAGAGAGAGAGCTAGTGGGAGGCATTGGCTTTAGTAGGGATTTTATACTGTGAGAGACTGTGCAAGTAAACATCTGAGACAACCACGTGACTTCACTATTCACTGTGACGTCTGTGCTTTAGTTTAACTCTTCACATATCAAATGTCCAGTGCTTGTTTTGTTATGGATTTATGGCAGTTTAGTTTTGATCCCATAAAGACTTGTTTTTGAATCCACAGATCATTTTATTTATGATTACAGTTCTTGAAAGCAAACTTTCAGAGAACAGAGGAAATGGAAGCTATCATAAAGAGAACATCAGAAAAAAAGGGGTAAAAGAGGAGGGGGGAGAGAGGCGGGCAGTTTATCTGGCTCTTGTCCAGTCCTGATCTGGGTTTAGCCCAATGCAACCTGAACTAAAGTCTGCCTCAGAAGTCTTGTAGTGAGTCTGCATGTGGGAATATGTTTCACTGCTCAACCAGCTGTGAAAGACAGAGAAATATTGAGGAATACTCCGTGTTAAGGGTCAAATAATGGTAAACCTGCTGTGAAATATTCCAGTGTCAGATATGTCTAAAGAAAGATCAGATAATCATACACGGTTAAATTGTGTTCTTAAATGTAATTTCTTCAAATCCTCAGTTCTCTCTGCTTTACTGTTACCAATTAGTGTTTTAGAAAAGTGAGAATTTCTCAATAATAACTGCAGGTGTCAAGTTATTATTGAACAACATTTTTGTTGCCACACATTTTAATGATTTCATATCTCAATGCCTCGAAGGAATGTTAAATACAAGTTAATCTCCATCAAAATCATCTTTCACATGCTGCTGAAAAAAACTTCAATTTGTACAAAAGAGAAAACAAACGTAATTATTTGGGGCAAAATTAACATTAAAATACACACTGATTTTAAAGTATACCACAAGAATAGAATGATAAAATCACTTTCAGCTCATGATCATTTAAAGTCAGTAAACATTGAATCTTTTTTGATACACACAAGAATGAAATTGATGTGATGAAAACGCAATCTTAAATATGTTCATTTAAAATGAATAAAAACCTATTCAATTAAATATTTGATTCCATATAATGCTGTATTTTTATATTATAAATGTATAAAAGAATATTAAAAAGAACATTTCTGTTACTTGGACTATATTAAAAAACTAATAAAAATGACAAAACACAATAAAACTGCAATACAATTACTAAGACTTAAAAATTTTACAAAATAAAATTCCCTATTCACAGTATGAATATAAACTCAGTGACACTAAAATAACAGAAGGAATAAGAATAGTACACTTAAGAAATAAGAATATTACACTACAGCAAGTTGTATTTAACCTAAAATATTCCTGGCTTGGCTTATAGACAGGACTCTACTCTTCATTACCATTCTGTGTTAGATACAAGAACCTGAAGAGCAACCTACACTAACTCTGATGTACCCAGAATGACCTGCTCAATACACATCTTTTCCCATAAACATTTGTGTTTACACCTCAATTTGATCTGTTTTCATCTGCCATTCAGTCATGCTGAAACAGGGCTCCGTGTGTAGATGACAAAACCTCGAATATGGACTGTCACTGTCACTTTTTTCCTCACACCACAACTACAAAAAATGTTGGACAAGTTGAGACAGTTTTCTTTGGATGCAACTCCAACTAAAACTTTAACACGTAGACTGTAAACAAGGCCTCAAGAGGACTTAAAGATCGAAACAAACTCACTGGTTGTGTATCAGTGAATAAATGAAAGTGAACAGCACATTAATGTCCTTTTTAATATCAACAATAAGAACTCTACTCATTTTTTGAATGTGAAAACCATCAGAAACCTCTTGATGGCAGCAGTAAGCCTCACAGGGTGCCACCTGCAGATCTTCAATCATTCTTACAGTTTATACAGGGGGCAGCAGTTACTCTGACCGAACAACATGTCTTCAAACGTGATAAAGACTGCATGGTTCTAAAACAAACCAGGAGCTGGACGGTTATGTACAAGATTTGTTTGTGATGTGAATCCAAAGACTTGCTTTGCTTTAAAAACAGGAAAAAAGGACAACATCACAAATTGTAGGCTACCTCAGTTGAGCTGAAGAAAGTCTAATTCACCAAATGTCCTCTGGAATTCACAATGGGTTTTTAGAAGAGTTCCCGAGTAAATTAAGGTCTGTGGTGAACTACTTGAAGAGACAGATTGTTCTACAACATAAATTACACAGTGTCATATATGCATATTGAAACTGTTATGGTGCTATACTGTTAGGTGTTAAGTTGCTAAAAGGGCTAAACTGATTTTTCAAGCAAGTAAACTGACATACATCCTTGTGGTAGTTACTTAGCAACTTACATTTTTAACAAAAACACTACTTTTAACTTGCGTTATATCTGTCTAATTTATATTACAGTAAAATATTAAAGTCTCTTCAAGTAATGTTAACAATAGACCTTATTTCACCCGAATCAAAACTGCTGTTTTAAAAACCCATAGGAAATTCCTGAGGGAATTCATGGCTGGAAAATGCTAACACTCTTCATGGTTTTATAACTGTAAACTGTACAGCTCTATATGATACCTTAACTTGATGGAAAGTTTTTTATTTATTTATTTTTTAAATTATTTTTCTATATAAAACTGCCACTAACCAAGTCCTAAACAATCATTTAACAACTTTTATAGTTTACTATTATATCAAGCAGCATGAAAACCTATTGGCCTACAGTAAATGCTACATTTAGATCATTATTTAGTGAAGTGAAAAACTCCAGATAATGCTTATTTTCTCTGCTATTAAATCTCTGTTTGAATAGTGCTGGAAAGAGCGGAGGGAAAATAGTTCCTGTCTCACACAACCATTTGCTAACAAAGTACATTTCTTGTGACCTGTCTTCTGAAATGTATCATTTATTTTCATGCTAGATAAATAATCAGTATTAAAGCTCCACTACGAATCTTCGGCACCTCTATCGGCATCTGTGCTTGAAATATAAAATTGCAAGTTGCATGCACAATGAATAATGATGAATAATGATTTATTTTTGTTTGTGCACTAGTGACCAAAAGTTTGGAATAATTAAGACTTTTTAATGTTTTTGAATGTCTCTTATTCTCACCACAGCTGCAAAAATACAGTAAAAAAGTGAATGAATTGTATTATTAATACAATTTAAAATAATAATGTAAATAATAATGTAATTTATTCCTGTGATGGCAAAGCTGAATTTTCAGCAGCCATTACTCCAGTCTTCAGTGTCACAGGATCCTTCAGAAATCAGTAGCTCAATAAAGGAATTTTATTCATTTTGTCCCTAAACATCTTCTGTGGAGCAGCTTTAAAATAAAACATTTATGTCTGATCTTTTTTCAGTTGAAAGCCTCACTATTTCAACATCAATCTACCCCTCCCTAACAGAGAACTGTGTTGGTGAGTATTAAGGTGGTGACTGTCCCCTTGGGGTCCACTGATTCTCGGGTGTTGACCGTGACACCAACAGCTGGCAGAACAAAGCAGAGGGCTGGATTGGGCACCACTGGCTGTGCTCCCTCAATTCCATCCTGTCCCCTCCCACCAAGAGTGGCACGTGTGTCTGCCCACCCCCAACCAAACAGCTTAAACTGAGCGTACACAACCCCCTGCTTCTGTCGTTAAACCCATTGTTGTCTCCTAGCCCCCTTCCTCCAGCTCAGTCCTATTATATGCTCAGATTTTGCATTTTTTGCTCTCTAGAGGAAACTCATATGCCATTTGTCTTCTCCCTCCCCATCCCTGGCTTCTTGCATTGTCTTCAAGCAACGAAAAACCAGAGGTGAAGACTGAAGTATAATGATCCTCTTGACCGTTAGCTTGTAGTCAGTCTGGTCCCCCAAATGCCATTCATCCACATCCAAACATATGCAACTCGCTAATAGTTTATCTGCAGACCGTGAGATGCCTACTTCACTGCAAGCACAAATGCATGTCAGTTATTTCATAAATCTAATTATTATTCAAGAAACTGACACACACACACACACATATACACACCTTGGTTTTCCATGTTTCATGTGGACTCTCCATAGACATAATGAAGCTCCATATGTAGGTTTGGGAGGAGCCTAATCATTCAGTCCTGTCAATCATCATTATGAGCCTATATAAGCAGCAGTCATTGTGCCGTCCCAGCAACAATTCTTCGGGCATCCCTCTACCTCCCCATCTCCTCCTCTGTTTCTGTTATTCTCCCTCTATGTAGTACCACAATGGGGAGGTTGAACTCAGATTTCAAACCGAGCCTCGGGTTTGAGCCTCCATTGAGGACAGCAAGCCAAGTTTGTTTACAATTAACCATCAGGACTGGATGTGCAGACGAACTTGTGAAATGGTTTTTATACTGTACAAACTGCATTTTCTATCCCCTTACCCTAAACCTAGCCTCTCAAACAAAACTTCCTGCATTTTTAGAAAAAAAAAAACTTAATTCTGTATGATTTATAAGCTTGTTTCAACATGGCACTAAAAAAAATGTCCCCAAAAGGTCAAAATTGGCTATTACTGGCTATCCATGTGGGGACATGTGGTCCTCATAACGTACACAGTGTCTGTTCTTTTTTAATTGTTGACGTGTTTAATCAATCATTTTTTAAATAAAACAATTTGTTGTTGTTTGTTTTAGAATTTTACAGCACTTGCACTTGACATTAATTTACACAGTTTACAGGTAAGTTTGTATATTTTAAAACAATAATTTGTAGCAGATAAATGTGGGGATGTATGTGTGTGTGTGTGTACTTTGTATGTAACTTTTTATTTCTGTCACAGAAGTGAAATTTAAAGAGATGCTTCATTGCTTTCTACCTGTTTGTGGCTCTTTCATCCTTGTGGGGAAATGCCTTCTCATTCCAAAATCTGCAAGAGCACTACTTCAGAGATAATATATCATTCACTCTCTTTACATCAATGCTTGTACGGCCATAAATATGTGGGTGAACCTAACCTATGAAGCCCTGCCCTTAAAAATATG